ATATGCAGGGAGTTTTTTATATGGGAGAGGATTCAGTCACCCAGTCCTCCAATCTGAAGGGATGTACATACAATGAAATACAGGTTTTCTACCTCATCTGTTCTCTGTGTGGTCCAGGCGTTAGATAACCCTCCTTGCTGTGTCTTCCTCTTTTGGCTAGAACTACACGAATACTCCTTATTCAATATTTCAACGGGCCACTTTGGGCCCAGTTCTTGCCTCTGCCCATGTATCATAGAATCACAGCATGTTAGAGTTGGAAGGGACCTTGCAGGTCATCTAGTCCACCCCCCTGCACTCTGCAGGAGCAGAGCCGAAAGAGAGCCCTGCAACAGCCTCCGCTTGAGAACGTAGTTTCATCACTGTTACTATCCCCTGCTCCTTCCTAGGGAAATTTTCCCTTCCAGCCTTCATCCACTCAGGCTCTTGTAATGACAAATGTTTTGCCTATTTTTAGAAGGTTCCAGTGAATGCATGCACTCCAAGCTCCCTGAGTAACATGTTCTAATGCATGGCGATTCTTACAGATAGAAAAATCTTCCTTGGTATTTAATCTCTCACTTTTGCGTAAAGCCCAATTCCCCCCTCACCTACTGAGAGTTCACAGAACGGTTGGTTTTCTTCCTATACACAGCAGCCTATGACATATAACTGATACCTGTTATCACGTCTCCACCCCCCAGCTTCTCCTCTCCAGGCTAAACAAGCTTTCCTCTTGTCTCCCTCCCCGGCCCAGCAGCATTCCAGACCCTTTATCAGCACTCTTGCTCTCCTCTGAACCTTCAGGCAAATCCATGGAATCCTGTCTCAGCCTCATCCTGGAGTGGGAAAGGGCTTTGAGTCCATGCCTCCAATAGGCCAAACCATATGTGCCAAATGTTCCCTTTGCCTTGTTTTAGCCAAACACCCTCTCTCTCTTGTTCCCTTTGATGAACACATGACATATGTTATGGAACGTAGCAAAGAATATGAGCTTCCGTAATCAGTGTACTAAAAGCTATGCCCAAGGAGTGAGCAGACTCTTGAATACCCCCAGACTCCAGCACTGGCAGAATTGCCTGTTGTTGACTCTGACACAGCATGTTACCTTTAACACACGCTTGCCTCAGAGACCAAGGCTATACCTAAACAGCAGGAAAAGGGGTGAAACTGTATCTACAGTGTCTCTAACACTTCAGACTCTTTGAGAGGAAGGAGTCACATGATAGCATTTCTCTCTCTCTCTCTCTCTTTTCCCCCCATAAGTAATTTTGTGTGAATAAGCAGGGCTATTTTCGGGCAGGAACGCACAGGAACGGAGTTCCGGCTGGCTCCGGAGTTGGCCACGCCCATCAGGAACTCATTAGCATAACAGGCCACACCTAACAGCAGACACTCATTAGGATTGGCTACCTTAGGGGTGTGTGACCTAACATGCAAATGAGTTCCTGCTCCAAAAAAAGGCCCTGGGTTTTGACAACAAACAAGGTAAACAGAATAAGAAGGGAAAGGTGGGTGTGGCTGGATGACCACACTTCTGGTGACATGGGGTGTGGCCTAATATGCCAATGAACTGTGCTATTGGGGTGTGGCCTACTATGCTAATGAGTTCCTGCTGTTGGGTGTGACCTATTGTGCTAATGAGTTCCTGCTGGGCTTTTTCTACAAAAAAAAGCCCTGTGAATAAAGATATAGGGTTACCACCTCTGGGTTGGGAAATTCCTGGGGTAGAGTCTGCGGAGGTCGGGGTCTGGGGAGGGGGTATGATGCCATACAGTCCACCTTCCACAGCAGCCGTTTCCTCCAGGGGAAGAGGTCTCCAGGCCCCACCTGGAGTCTGGCGAGCCCAGCTTACATGGAGGATCACTCAGAGATATGTGAACCCTGCATGCGTTTGGTGGTACAATCCAGAAAGAATGTTTACCACCTCATTGATCATCTGTTTGTATTAAGTTAGGTCTCACGTTCTGAGCCATGGTTCTCCGCAATACGAGGAGTCTCTTCCTACCAAAATCAAATGCATAATTGTAGGTTGGGGGAGACTTGCCTTGGCAGTAGTATGTGCGAAAAGGATCTAGCAGTGACTTAGGGAAACAAGGTAATATCTATAAAGCCAATGAGACCAGAGCTGAACAGGTTTGAAGTGGTAGGATCAGCACAACGTGGAGACTGCGTTAAACCCATGATTCTAGTTTACTGAGGCATAACAGTCTTGCCTTTCAAAACACAGAGCTGGAAGGGATCTAAAGGGTCATCTAGTCCAACCCCTTGCACAATGCAGGAAATTCACAACTACCTCCCACCCCCTCATTCCCCCAGTGACTCCTGCTCTATGTCCAGAAGAAGGCAAATAACCTCCAGGATCCTTGGCCAATCTGGCCCAGAGTTAAATTCTTTCCTGCCCCCAAATGGCAATCAGCATCATCCTGGGCATGTAAGAAAGGGCCACGAGAGCCGAGCACTGGCACTGGTTCATCCCTTCCTGCCCTCCCTTTCATGATCTAACTTCCTGACGGTTAGAGCAGTTCCTCAGTGGAACAGGCTTCCTCAGGAAGTGGTGGGCTCCCCTTCTTTGGAGGTTTTCAAACAGAGGCTAGATGGCCATCTGACAGCAATGTGGATTCTGTGAATTTAGGCAGATCGTGAGAGGGAGGTCAGGAAGGGTTGCCTCAGTGCTTAGTTCTTGTGGCCCTTTCTTACATACCCAGGGAAATGCTGATTGCCACTTTGGGGGTCAGGGAACAATTTTTCTCCAGGCCAGTTTGGCTGGAGATCCTGGAGGACTTTTGTCATCTTCTGGGTGTGGAACAGTGGTCACGGGGTGTGTGTGGGGGCGAGGTATTTGTGAATATCCTGCCTTGTGCAGGGGGTTGGACTACATGACCCTGGAGGTCCCTTGCAACTCTGATTCTATGATTCTATAAAACTTTCTTTACAGGTGCCTGCCCCTCATGCCATACACCCCTCTCCTGAGATAGGAAACATTTCCTGACCAATGCTTCCTCTAAGCTGTGGAGTCTTGTGAGCAAAAATTCTACTTTGTGAGCTACTGGCATTAAAGTTGTGAGTGAGTGATTTGGCTACTACATAATGTTTGCTCTGGAGCCATCCTTCCTCAGCTAAGACAAAAATGTGTGAGCTGGAGGCTAAAAAACTGTGAGCTAGCTCACACTAACTCAGCTTAGAGGGAACACTGTTCCTGACTAGCCTTATACTTTGCACCTGCACTGGCACCTGGCTGAATGCCCAAACCACTCAGCACTTCATGGGCACTGTCACTGGCAAGTGGCAAATATTTTCCATTCCTGGCAAAACCCTCTGGAATGTACCAGAAGAGTCACCCAGGCACCTCGGCAGACAACTGTCAGCAAGCAAGAGTCTGGTTGCTAGCTTTACCATTCTTCCACAGCACAAGCTGGCTGCTGCTGGCTCTCAGGACTCAAAGACTTCCTAGTGGCCAGTTCCGTAGGAATACTTCCTAGCCCGTGTTCCCCCTAAGCTGAGTTAGTGTGAGCTAGCTTACCGTTTTTTAGCCTCCGGCTCACACATTTTTGTCTTAGCTCAGGAAGGTTGGCTCCAGAGCAAACTAATTTATGCAGCCGGCAAATCACCGACTCACAACTTTAATGCTGGTAGCTCAGAAAATAGAATTTTTGCTCACAAGACTCCACAGCTTAGAGGGAGCATTGTTCCTAGCCTGTTCTTATTCTCACGAGCAGACTTCCAGCTCTGGCGCTTGTGCCTCATTATTGTATCATGACCAGGGCTCTTTTTGTAGAAAAAGCCCAGCAGGAACTCATTAGCATAATAGGCCACACCCAACAACAGGAACTCATTAGCCTATTAGGCCACACCCCTGACAGCACAGCTCATTAGCATATTAGGCCGCAACCCCATGTTACCAGAAGTGTGGTCATCCAGCCACACCCACCTTTTGCTTCTTATTCTGTTTACCTTGTTTGTTGTCAAAACCCAGGGCCTTTTTTTGTAGCAGGGACTCCTTTGCATGTTAGGCCACACACCCCTAATGTAGCCAATCCTAATGCGTTCCTGCTGGGCGTGGCCAACTCGGGAGCCAGCCGGAACGCCGTTCCTGTGCGTTCCTGCCCAAAAATAGCCCTGATCATGACTTCCATTTAAGTAATAAACACGGTAACATTCTGTCCTGGAGCAACTGTCTCCTTGGGTTCTCAGTGGATTGGCCAAGCTTCTATACTTTCATCCCTGTGGATAATATGCAATCTAGTAATAAGAAGTGGTTAAGACACTGAACTGCAGGCTGTGGAAGGTCAGTAGTTCAGCGGTTCAAGACCCGGGTGCCGCAAGACAGGGTGAGCTCCTGTCTCTAGTTCCAGCTCCTGCCAACCTAGCAGTTCGAAAGCAAGAAATTGCAAGTAGATAAATAGGGACCACTTCGGTGGGAAGGTAACAGCGTTCCGTGCGCCTTGGTGTTTAGTCATGCCGGCCACATGACCACGGAAACGTCTTCGGACAGCGCTGGCTCTTCGGCTTTGAAACGGAGATGAGCACCGCAACCCTAGAGTCGGATTCGACTGGCTTTCGAGCAAGGGAACCTTTAATAAGAAAGGTACTCTCTCTGTCCTGCAGTTCTTCAAGTTTTATACTCCAGCATGACCATGTGTCTTCATTCTTCTGTCAAAGAGTAACTGTCCCCAACCCATGTCATTCCCTCCAAGGGATGGCTGACACCCAGCCTCCCACACACATGCACAACACTTGTCTTTCCTCCCTAGGGGAGGGGGGTACCTTTGACATGGAGGCGCACCGCGCTTAGCGTATGGCCAGCCGTATTGCAGGCTGTGCACACATAGAGCCCACAGTCCCTTGCTGTGCAGTAAAGCACCTTGAGGATAAAGTAGCCTTCCCTGTCTTCATAGAGCAGGTGCCTCCTTCCGGGGGACAGCACCTTCCCATCCTTCTGCCAGACTATCTCTGGCTTGGGCTTGCCGGTTACATAGCAACGAAACTTTGCATGCTTCCCTTCATTCACAGTAAAGGCCTTCTTGGTGGGTAGGCTTGGAAACACTTCTCCGTTCTGCCTGGCTTCCGGTATCACATTCTGCCCAGGGCGATGTCTCTGCGGCTTATCATCATGTACCTCTGGCTGCTTCTTGAAATGACAGTTCTGGGGTGCATTCTGAAGCGGGCCGTCATGGGGCACACATGAGTCCACCAGGAGCACTGCTGCAGCCACAGCCTCTCCCAAGCGGTCCCGTGCGCGGCAGACGTAGACCCCTGCGTCTGGGAGGCGGGTGTTGTAGATGTGCAGGGAATGCCAGTCGCCAGGCTCCGCACTCACTTTGTAATGGCTGCTCTCAAAGATGTCTCTCAGCTTATGGCCATCCTTTTCCCACTCAAGCTGCCCCGAGACCCTGCAAGCAAACGTCACATCCTCTCCCCGGGTTACCCGTGCTGAGACGGGCCTGCTCAGGAAGACTGGAGGCTGGGTGTCCGGATCTCCCGGGGGTTGCAGTTCTACTGTCTCCACTTTGAGGGTGGCAGCTGCATAGGTTTCTCCCACAGTGTTCTTGGCTTTGCACACATAGCGTCCACTGTCTGCTGGGCCAGCCCGAGAGACCAGGAGGCTGTATGCATCTCCATCAGCCTTCACAAACATCCGGCCTGACGGCAACTCCAGCGCAGAGCCATCCTTCTCCCAGGCAATGCTGGGGCGTGGCTCACCAGCCACCTGCCATTTCAGTATTGCATTGGTACCACTTTGCACTGTAGAAGTGCGAGGGTAGGCGAGAAATCGGGGAGCTCCTCCGAAGGCATCCATTACTGGACTGGTCACGACGTAACTGAGGCCAGGGACCTACAGAGAGTCAGATCAAGAAAGCATTATAGCTAGAACTGCACACATAGTTGACATTTGAGAACAAAATCCTTCTCTGGGAACTAATTCACACAACCACATTGGAATGGTAGAGTGAAGAGATTTGCTGCTTAATGTGTAATATAGGAAAGTGGTATGGTGAGGTGTGAGCACTTCTCTGTGCACCATCTCACAACTATTTTTTTTCAAACCACTGCTAAATCCATTTTTGATAGCTTTGCAGTGGAGTGGAACAATGTTCCCTCTAAGCGCCACAGTGTTGTGAGCAAAATTCTACCTCGTAAGCAAAAAAAAGCTAGTAGCATTAAAGTTCTGAGCAGGTCTACATTTAACTATTTCATATATTATTTTTAGAAGATTTTCCCATAACCTTGTAAAAATATCAGAATGAATTCTTTTAAACTATATTTTAAAAATAATTTAAACATTATAAGAGAAAACAGAATCAAGTCAAATTTCATTACACAAAATGTTGTCCTCTACAGGGCTAGACTAGGCCTCCGTAGAATAGGTCTACACATCCCAGTCTACTATATTTGTAGATCTGACCTCCAGAAAACAGGTCTACCCACCCCAGTCTACTATACTGGTAGATCTGTCCTCCAGAGACCTGGTAGACCTTTGCCCTGCGCTGACCCTTAGAAAACATACCAGTACTGGGGCGGGGTGTGTGTGACTCTTGCAGTCTATTTTGGGTTTTTTAGTGAAATATGACAACCAGCATTACCAGTCAAGTATAACAGAGAAAGAACAATCACTGTCAGAATCCTACCTAACCTAACAAACCGGACGTTGTTTAAATGTTATCAACCTGCCCAAAGTACTTATTTATTCAAATATTTATATCCCACTTCCCCCTGAGACTCAAGGCAGCTTACAAATCATACTGAAAAGCATAATAGGGGAGTGCAAAAAAAAAAATTTCCTGGCTCAATTATAGCCTATGGGGACTATTATAGTCAATGGGCCCCATAGGCTATAATGGAGAATCACACACAGGACCTAATCAGGTTCAGTTTATTGATCAGAGCAGAGGACACTCCATGAACTTCTGTGTTAGGAATAACATAAGATGAGCGGGCAAAACAGTTATAACCCATTTGTATATGACCCCCTGATGAGCAGAGGCCAATGAGCAAACACCTGCAAGCGCGGGGAAACGCTAACGGACCCAGTGAGGGCGGGAGACTGGCAAAGGAGGCAGGGCAGAGAAACCAGGTGCTCAAGGCCACGGAGAGATAACAAGGCAACAGGGAGAAGACAGCTGCAGGGGAAAGGGGGGTGGCGAAGCGCAAGCGCACAGCTCACACATTCCAGCACATTAGACATCCCATGGCGGTGTCAACTGACATCTCGCCCCCCTCATAGCTGCTGGTGCCTCCCCTCATAGCTGCTGGTGCCTCCCCTAAAAAAAAAAGCTAAGTTTCAAAAAGATTGGACGAGGGGATCCAATTCTGTGGGCCTCAGAATGAGGCACTCCCATTCTCCATTGTTTGTGAGGTGAAGCAGAAATCCTCTGAGCTGGCCTCTGAAATGTTGTGTGCCAGTGCCCCGTAGCGCAGGAACTGTGGTGTGGAACTATTTGTGTCTACTTTTGTTTATAGTCATGTATGCTATGGGTTGAAATAGTGGGCCCAAAAGGAAGCTTAACACTGAGAGTTTGTTATCATCCACCTGATCAAAAGATGGAGGAGGATTATAAAATGATGAATGAATTAAAGATAGCGGCCAGACGAAATAACTGTGTTGTAATAGGTGATTTTAACTACCCACACACTGATTGAGTCAATATGTGTTCAAGTCGGGAAAAATTGATTGAGTTTCTAGACAGTCTCAGTGACTGTGCTATGGAACAGATGGTCACAGAACCTATTAGGGGAGAGGTGGTCCTAAGTAACGCCCAAGACCTGGTGAGAGATGTAAAAGTGATTGTACCACTTGGGAACAGTTGTATAAATAGGGAGTTGCCCAAAAAGACTGACACAACCACTTTGAACTTTAAAGGGGGTAACTTCTCTGATATGAGGGGACATGTGAGGAAGAAACTGAAAGGAAAAGTAGAAAGGGTCAAAAACCATTGGGGAAGCTTGGAGAATATTTAAAATTACAATCCTAGAAGCTCAGAAAAAATATATATCGCAGGTTAGGAAAGGCACAAATAGGCAGGGGTCATTTCCTGCAGGAGCGCACAGGAGCAGAGCTCTGGCAGTAAAGAGCCCAGGGGGCGGGCACATGCAACAAGCCCCGCCCCCTGCTCCCAGCAGCCCCTGGCCACGAGGAGCAAGAAGCAGCCAGGTAAGTTGCAGTCGGTGTTGCCTTCTGACACACTTCCGGTGATGTCAGGGGGTGTGACATATGCAAATAAGTTATGCTAATGAGTTATGCTAATGAGCTCCTGCAACTCTTTTTCTACAAAATGACCCCTGCAAATAGGTATAGAAAAAAGCCTGCATGGTTAACAAACAAAGTAATTGGAAGCTGTAAAAGGTAAAAAGAATTCTTTTAAGCGGTGGAAAGCTAGTCTCAGTCAGGTTGATAAAAGGGAACACAGGCTGTG